GGGGGGGGGGGGGGGGGGGCCTGAGTACTGGCCAAAATGAAGAGGGCCGGAAACCTCGGACGGGACATGCCAACTAGAAACGAGGACATGGATTACATGACAGCAACTGAGCAGCAGGCTGCTGTGCAATCCACCGGAATTTCCGACCAGCCTGCGTCCCGGCGTGCTAGTGCAAACCCATGCGAGCCTGACGAAGCATCAGCGGCCTCCGTCTGCAGCACGTTGGCCACACGTTCGACGTACCTGTTCGCACCTCGCCTGCCAGTACAAGTGCTCAGACTAGATAGAAGTTACATGCCGCAACTCCAAGCACCGGAAATGGTATCAAGAGGATAGCACGCCGTCATTTCCGGTTGGGGAGCCTGCTGAAGAAGATGTAGTCACCCCAGCTGAGGTTGAGGATTTCCAGCCAAAACCGAAAGCGCAATCCTTAGGCCAAAAACTGAGGAGTGGCGGAGAGCCACCGTCAATGGCACGCTGCAATGGTGGATGAGAGAAAAACTCATGATCCAAGGCTCGATTCGACATACTAAGGCTCAAAGCGTCCAGGCAGCCTCGAGCAGATTTGCGCAGGGAATTAAGGCTACAAGCCTCGCAGTGAGAGGTAGCAAACCAATTGCACACAGCACTCCACAGATGACAAGTGGCCACAACCGAAAAGCTGAAGGGACGTAATTCTCAAAATCTTTGTCAAGCTAGCCAAGCAGTTGTCGAGATAATTGCTTCTAGAGTTCAAGACTTTCGCGTGAACACCCTTTCACTTGCATGTACAGGACGAGACATTAGGCACATTGCCCTGCAAGTGTTAACTTGAATCTTGAGAAGGGTAAAGGAGCGAGCCTGGGTACTGGAAGGGATTGGCAGGGTTTGACACCGCCGGAAACCCTGAAAAGAGAAACAAGCAAAGGCCGTTTAGCAAGAGAAGCAAACATCCCTTACTGTGCACCCATTGAATGGCCGGAACTGAACGTCGAAAAGGCTGGAGACGGCCTGCTCCAGTCAAGGCTGTACATTTGGCCAGCGTCCGAAAGTACGTGGTCCTGATAAAACCTGCCAACATGACTGCAGAAGACGAAGCAGCCATGGTGCAGCACACATCAACATCGTCAAGCGCAGCCTGCCTGTAGCGGTGCTGCCAGTATGCAGCGCAGTGAACGAGATCTCCGCGATCGTTTGGGTACGGTCTAGGAGAAGTCGCGGCCACGTCTGCTTGCCGAGCCGCCTGTAGTCTGTCACCGTGCCTCGAAGGAACGACGACATGCCAGGCTGAGAAGTCAGGGATCTTTCGGCGCCTGTAAGGATCAGAAGCGGACAAAGCGGCTGCTCTGCTAGCTTGGAGAACGGCAGGTCCTGCACAGATGCTTACGTGATCACGCAAGGTAGGTGGACTATGACAGCATGTTCAGCAGCCATGGCTGCAGCCTTACCACCGTGAAAAAAGTTGCGCTGAAGGGTGCGCAAGTAGTACCTGACGGAGCGATGGTGGGTGAGGTCTTGAAATGTAATATAGGAAATTGTACATTAAGGATAAAAACCCTGCTCCGAGGCCTTCTGCTTGCGACATCGTACGGCATGTGAATGCCCCACTGCTACGGCTGAACAGAGCCATGCGACCAATGCCAAAGTCTCCGAAGCTCGTTGTGGAACGGCACAACGACGATGCCAGCCATTAAGCACACGCGAACCTTAGAGGTACATGATTCCTCTCCACCTTTCAGGCCTCGACGTTTGGACCTACACTGAGGCACCGTCGAACATGCGCCACTTCACTTCGGAGAAGGGCAGCTGCCCAAACATCAGAGCCTGACCTGCCGATTCGAGGCCCGCCAGAGAGCATGTGCCTAGAATTCAACATGTGCAAGAGCTTCCGCCGTGCTTCTCTAGAAGTTGCGTGGTCTACGCAATGCTTTCGCCCGTGGCCCCGTGCCTGTTAGGGGTCCATAGATTCTGTACTGGAGCATCAGCATGATCATCGTCAGACCAAGCAAAGGGCCAGTGATCGTCACCACCTGACATGGTTTCTGCAAGATCCTAGCCTGAAGCAGTAGTCAAGAAGATTCGCAGAGACACCGAGATGAATAGGCTGGGCAGGAAGGGTGCAAAAAGCACCTCGGCTTTTGGCACATCAGTGACAAAGGCAAGGACCGAAAGCTGCAGAGTCCGAGCTGTCATGGTCGGGGAGCCGTGACAGTCAGCAGGAACACCAGGATGCCGAAGAAGGTGATCAGCACTGAACGGTCACCCTTCAAAAGAAGTTCGCGAAAAACCAGGAAGACTGCCACGTCGGGGCCAGCCACGGCCGTGGAGGATTCCGGGAGCTCAGGGGCTTGCACCTGAAATCAGTGATGTGGGACACTCATGTGGTGCGCCGATACTCTGCAGGGGCCTCTTGAGTGATGCCTCTTTGCACCGCGCTTGCGTTGAACCGAATGTACTGCGTGACTCAGAGATCGAGATCATATTGTCTTGAACTTCTATCGTAGCTCTGCCCGTGTGCTGGTGAAGTCCTCATCCACAGAGCGTCCCGCTTCGGCGAAGACATCCGCATTCTCGCAGCCACTCGTCGATGGACTAGCTGCCCTTGTTTCGTCGATCACAGTGAAGCAACATTCCAAAGCATGTCTGACTCCTTTGCCTGAAGTGCTTCTCGCACGTAGCAAACCTGTCAGCCACTGCAGCACAGGTCGAATGAATGAACTATGCCTGGCCATGGGCTTCAGCACTAGCTTCTCTGCATCGCCTCTGCTGCAAAGTCAGGCCCCCGGATTCCGGAACCGACCAGTCCTGCTTAAGGACGCAGCAGACTAGTGACTAGCCGCTAGCCACTGGCCCAAATCGAACTCATGCATCTTTACAGGCTGTAAGACACCGTGGCGAGCTGGTCAGCGCTAGAGCTTGGGATGACGGCTCGGGCTTTCACTGCAGAGCCACTGTCACAGCATCTCCACCTCGGGTCATTTGCAACAGCAAATGCTGCTTTGGAAGAGCGTCCTCCACATAAGGCAGCGCAAAGATCATCACCAGCAGCAGAAGCATCACCTGTCTCTATGTCTGACGGAATCAAACAATGGCGACCCGTGAGCAAAGACTAGTGGACAGTACCTTGCGACTCAGGGCGCAACTCCAAGGAACCGCGCGGCACAAGCAAGACAGCCGTTGACGAAGAGGTAGCACCTGCAAAAGCTGAAAGGACCCTCCCACTGCCACACCCGTGTCAGGCCTGGGTGATGCCGACGAGCTTGCTCTCTTTGCGAACCTGATTTGCACACGGTGAAAGGCCAGTTGGCGACTTAACGGCTGGGCCTCGACAGGAGCCAGAAGGCGAAGTTCACCCCAGCCGTCAACTGCGAACACTTTGCGGATGCCCTCCCAACCAGACTTCAGAGCTCCGCCTCGAAGAATCTTAGGAAGGTCCCGTACGGAGACCAATCCCACAAAATCTGCCAATGCGGCAGACCTTGGAAACGGACAACTCAGGCTCGGAGATGAGACACATCGAAAGGGAAACTCGAGAGAATATTTCTGGGCGCGGAGCTTTGTGCGCAGAAAGCTATGCGAAGGGCTGTGCCATAGAAGACGTTCAGTGCTTCTGTAAAGGGCACCTGTGGGCTTTTCGACAAACGAGTGCTTCCGCATCTTGATGATTTTCAGAAGAGGCGCGAGCCACACCACAGTGATCTGCAAGGGATTCAGGGCCAAAGTGGTGGCAAGCGTCAGAAGCAGGAGCATGCCGTCGAAGATGCCTCAGACAGGGTGAGCTGCGTCTAGCGCTAATGCTTTTTGCTTCAGAGAGTTAAACTCCCGCACTCAGCCGGGGTACGGGGAAGCATGCCTGAGCCGTCCCTCGGCAGCCGAAAAGCAATCCTCCAGCTGCTCTCCCCTCTTGGTCCCGCCTGAATGCAGCAAACGTACGGGCATCTGTATCCACCCCCGCAACGCGCAACAGAACTCAGTGTCAAACTGTGGGATCACGCAAAAATCCACCAGCATTCCGTTGCATCCGACAAAACGTCTTTGCCTTGGGCCGTTCTCATCTACGTTTGGAAACTTGAAACGCTTAAGACTGAAGACTTAGAACTGCGCAAGCACATCGAGGTAGAAGTCCGCAACCTGCACCAAGACCCATGTAAAGAGTGAGCTGCGGCCACGGCCTCCTCCGTCCCAGGCCTCCTGCCGTGTGGCCCCAGTTTGAGGCTGCCTTTTTGAGCAGCAACCGAGCCCGCAAAAGCCGCATGAGCCAGGAGCAGGTCGGGGCCTCTCCGCTGCGGCCAAGTGGGAAGCGAAGCTTGAAGCCAGGTAACCGCCCCCAGAGACAGCCGCAAGGTACTCCACGTCCTCGCAGGACGGAGACCCTGAACATCCCTGAACTGGAAGGAAAAGGAACGTCTTCTCCTGCAGCTGTTCGGCATGCGCAAGCCGCCAAAGCACGCCAGCCTGCCACTGGAAGGGATGTTTGGGGTGGGACGAGCCATTGCTTACGCGATGACTGCGGTCCTGAAATGCAGCAGCACGGATGCCCCCACCTTAGAAGCCCGCGAAGCAGAATGCAACGTGACTTAGAGACTTAACCAAGCCGCCAGGCTTATCGAGGCCCCTACCGGAAAGGGCAATCGAAAAGGACTCAGGCTTGACTTCGTCGGCAGCCGAGGTAATGGCTTCCTTGCCAAGTCCAAAGTCCAAAGGGTGTTCCCCATCCCACATCTGCCGCCTCTTTGAACGCTCCAAGTTCTGCTCGTTGGTGTGCTTTCGTGTTTGAAAACGCGTTTGCGGTACAATCGCCTACATTGACATGGTTTTCCAATTGGCGCAGTCGAGCTGCAGCGGGAGCATGTCAAATTCTTTCGAACTGGCAAACTGTGGCAAACTTCTGTGACTGACTGCCTGATACGGCAGCAGTGCCAGGCCCGTCGCCTCAATCCGTGTTTTTCTTCCGCTTTGCCCATGGATCATGAGCTGTGCTGCGCTTAAAACTCTCTCCCCAGCACCAGCCCCGGTCATGTGATTTTTCACCATCCGCCTTTGTTGGAGTCGGAAACTCTTGCTCCAAGGCCAATGTTCATGGTCTTTCCATCCACGATGCTCTGTGCTCGCCTGTGCCGCCTGTCCAAGTTGGCACGTGCCACTCCTTCTCCGCCTGCATTGCATCAGCCGGCTCGCAGAAGGTTCCGGAGCATGTTTTGGAAGCACCCAGCCGCTGCCGTCCCTCGGGCAGGTAGCCTGCAAATTAATTGCCTCCAGATACATACCCAGAAGGTAGTCTGCTGGCACTCCACCTCAGTTTTGCTTCGTATTGCGCGCTGTGCACATCCGTGGTCTGGTCTTCTGGAGCTAAGCGGGCGAAGGATGCTGCAGTGCGACTTTGGTGAATTCACGGAGGGACGGCGAGGGCTCCGTGTCCGATTGGGTCACCTCCTCTAGGTCCTCTAGGTACATGCTAGTTGGGGTAGGTGGAGTGCATGTTGCCTCACTAGCATCTGTGGGCGGTTCTGCACGACCTGTCTGAGCTCGTGGAGCTCCGCTTTCCAACACCTACACTCTCTCAGTTTGTAGTTCAAGCCACCTTCGCATTTCTGCCATCATGATTTCATTCTCATCTTTCGCTTTCCACGCCGAGATCATTTGACATCGCAATTCGTCGAACATGCGTGAAATCTGTTCTGCTGACATTGGGCAGAGCGCGGCTGCCAAGCAGCCAAATTTGCGAGGCTTTCAAACTTCCTTGAGCCACCCACGGCACACTGCATGCCAGACTGTGATCTGCTGAGCCTCCTGAGCTGCTGACTTCTATCCGTCTCCGCGCAACAAAGAGGCGCTGAGAGCGAGCTTGTAGCCACTCACGCTCCTCGAGCCAGGCACGCCATGCGCCCATGCATTCACTTTGGAAATGTTTGGCCTCCTCGAAGACATCAGCTTCCGTCAGCTCTGATTGGCCGACGGATCTCCACCTTGGCCTGGACTTCTCCGCACCGAAGCCAAGGCTGGCTTCAACACTTTCGTCTGGTCCTTGCAAAACCCGCAACACTCTGGGGAGGCCTTCGATGTGTCACTAACATGATCTGTGCTGCCACGGCACCATCCTCTGGTGTGACACATCGATCCTGCAGATTCTGCTGCAACTCAAATCTGGGACGCCGTAGCCTCGCGTCAATGGCTGCCTCCATAGCTGGGCATCTCAGACGGCGGCGCCGACGTGGTGGATGAAGATCAACCGTGTTCAGTTCTTGGACTGGTTTGGTTGTGAGCAACTGTCAAACTCATTTCAATGCCATGTTGTGGAGAGGGGGGATTGCCGAAATCGAAAAACTTCAGGGCAAGGCTACTCCGATATTGGACAAACCAGCGCTCAAGACGTCATGAAGCATTGATGCTCAGTCTCCAAGCTGAATTAATTAATGCGGAACGGCTGCAGATGCTGAAAAGCATGCTGTTTTTTCGATCACAACCATGCGATTGTTTCGTATTTGACACTGAGCTCATGAACATACGGCCACTGGGGTCCTTCCTCCGCCTTTTCTGCGACGGTGGCTCATCACCTGTGGCACTGTGGCACCTATCCACTCTCCGTGACTTGACCCAAGAATGCTGGCAGTGTCCAGAGATCTGCGCCTGGATCGGGTTCGTCGCTCGCTTTCGGCACCTTGGGCACCTTGGGTGCTTTGGGCCTGGGCTAAAGCACGGCTTCGGAGTCAAGGTAAAGAAGCCTATCGACTCGATGACCGTGACGTGAATGGCAAGAGCAAGGTTTCGACGCTGGCGTCGTTGTCGCAGCATGTCTCTTCTGGCGGCGGGTTGTATGTTCATGTACAGTTGCTGATCTGTGGACTGCGCTACTGAGCGGGGCCTTTGAAGGGATGGCTTTGGCGGGACTGGGCTTCTCTGACTCCGACTCCGCGTCCTCTGACTCTGAGTCCTCGAGAAGAGCGGATGATGTGGGTGCCCTGTTGTGAGCCCTGTTGCGCCTCCAGGGCTTCGATCTGCAGGTCCAGATCATTGAGCGAAACCATGCCATGGAAAGCGCGGCAGGTGGGCTCTTGCTTTCTGTAAACTGGGTGCCAGAGGTCTTTCCGAGATTGTCTCATCAGGGTGCAGACAGGAAATGGCACTGCTGAAGCTGACCAATCCAAGAGACGAGCGAAGGCAGCGCATGGTGTGAACAGACAAACGGTCCATGCTGGAGCGATGCAGAAATGCGTAGAAGAAGCCGCAAAAATTGATCCGGCAGTCGTGATCTGCCAATTTTGCAAGCGAATCGACAGGCGAAAATCAGGTGGACGACAGCCTCTTCCTGCAAGAAAGAACATCTGGAAGTATGAAGAATAGCTGGAAGCAAGGCACCTCAGCTCAGCACTTCGCTCTGAAGCCTGCCGCCGAGATGAAGGTTGATATGAGAAGAGCGAAAGCAAGGCTTGCGTAAATCTGGGCCCTGGGCCTTGTTGTGAGAGGCATCTAGAAGCACCTCTCATCAAGAGGATCCATCAGCTTACTCCTGGGAGAACTGTCGAGGTCTCCACGGGATCGTCGTCTTGCGGCCCCAAGGATCGAAACCTGGACAGTGCCGCATCAGCTTCACAAAGGATGCGCTGCACATCTTCTTGAAACCGGCTGAGTGAACAACTTTGGAACATTCACCGGAGCACCCAGATGAAGTCTGAGAATTGCACCTGTCATTTTATGGGGAAACGAGCTGGAAGCTCTTCGGGACAGTACCCTTGCTGCTTGGAATCTTTTCGCTCTCATGAGGTGCCCTTGCACTGCCGCAGAATTGTAGGAAATCCATGGCTGGCAACATGGGTGCAAGCCTCTGAATAGCGGAACTGAAACATGTCCAACTGTGCCGGAAGGTTCTCGTTCCTTGATGTTAGGGTTAAAGTCCCGCTTGGCAATCGGACTCATCGAGCCGAATGCGCCGTGGCCTTGCCGCTTTGCCTCGAGCCGATCGGGAAGTGGCCACTTGTTGTGGCCACTTCGCTGACCTCTCACGAACCCTTCTTTAAATTGCCGTGGCTCGCCAGCGGTCATGGTTGATTGCCGGGATAAGCCTGCGCGGCACGTCACCGATGGCCCAAGGGCTATCTAGCATCAACTGCACCGCCTTGATCAGGGGATTGATCACGCCTACCTTGGACAGAATCAGCCAAGCACTGTTCGACACCAGGCTGCTGCTTAAGGCAAGTGGCCACAACGACAGCGTAAATAACGGCAGCTCCAAGGACGGCGAAGAGTCCCTGGGCCTAGTTCAATCAATTATGGCCCGTGTCTCCATGTACACTTCCACAGGTTTTGGGATCAGGCAGCACTGCGAAAGAGACCCTGGCAATAAGAGGATTGTCCCCAAAGAAGCCAACCACATTGGCCAGCGGAACAATAGCCCTGGCCCATCTCACCAGCACACTCAGAAGCAGACACACGACACAAACATGACCGAGCGGCCCAACATTCTCTTTGATGCTCGCCGGGGGCACAGTCAAAACCCCAGGGTTCTTTCGAATAACCTGGGAGGGGAAAGCACTCTTCGGACGAGAGAATAGCTACGGCTGCCCTTTGATGGCCGATAGCATCTCTCCGGACAAGTGCTATGATACGCTGGGATGCTTAGCTTGCCACATCCTTGGCAACGTCCGGGCCCAATTCAGCAGACAAGGCCTGCATCCGAGCGGAAACCCAGATCTCGGTTTCTTGGGGCAAGGAGCCTCGGCAGAGGCGGCAATCTGCTTGGGCAAAAAGACCATCAGTGCGAGATTTCGCTCCACGGCTTTAAGGCCTTGCTCCTGGAGGCTAGGCGCGGCTGGGCTCTGCTGTGCTCTCACGGTCTCGCGAAGACATGTAAGGGCAAGTTGGCCCTTCCTCACCGCCAGCAGCGGCCGCGATGGCGCGGAAGGTCTCCTGCACGTCCTCCTCAAAACTGAGCGCTCGCAGCGAAGGCGTTCCAAATGCCACTGCCTAACCCACCTCCGTCTTGGGTCCGAGGTAGCTCCGTCGCCAGGCCTCGACGTGAGTTAGATGCTGCAAAGGGGGCACACTGGTGACACTGGTCGAAATCCCCCGAAGCTTCCGCACACCGAAGGTGGTAGAGCCCCGCTTTGCGGTGCCCAAACCGGGCTAATTCCCCAACCAGATGCCTGAAACCACCCCCTTATCGGCCACACTGAGACACTCCGACAGCAGTGGCTTATCGCTTTGGCTATTCCCTCATAGACGATTAATAATGCATGATGAAGCATCCATCATCAGCTCAGCGGTTTTCGTTGCTGCTACCGAGCCCTTGATGTCCCTCTGAGCTCGTTGCCGGCTGCTTCTCCTGGCCACAGGAGAAGCACGCGGATCCCAAACGGCCACTGCCCGGCCACTGGGCCGTGCTTGAGGGTCCTCCAGCAGCTCCAGAGCCTTGCGCTCCGTTTCCGACCACGAGGCGGTGACCTGCCGAGTCGGCCCAGTGGCAGAGACCCAGCACAGGAACCAGCTGCCTCTGACATAGCCGAAGGGCGTGGGAGGAGAAAGTGGCGAGCCCTGAGCCACAGTGCCAGCCGGAAAAGTTTCAAGAAGCAGAGAACTGGCCTGCTCGGCGTCCCGTGCATCTCTGCATGGGCATGTCTAGAACTGCCTTCAATCGGCTGGCTGTACCCGGATACGATGCACTCATCTGCTCCTACGCATGGTTGCTTCTGCATCCAAGTTGCTACACTGTGGACAACAAAGCGTGGAGAAACTGCACCCGATTCCTGGAAACACTCGTCACCCAGCATTCAGCAGCACAAGAAATGTTCAGCAAGCAACCTCGACTTGCGACGACCGCCATTACCAGGAGACCAGCCTCAGACCACGCTCCGTTCTGCCCATGTTTCCCAAGCAGCCCTCACTCTGCACGTGGGGACAGAGCAATTCCTGTTGGACGACGTGCACGCTGCATGGCTCGGGATATGCGCAGCTGCATGCTCATTATAATGGCTACTTTTGAGGGATGTCAAGTCAAGTGTGGTGGGGGGCTCGTGGTGGCACAATGCAAAAACCTTCAATTCGATTATGGAAGAACAGCCATGTCAACCTCCAGCAAAGAGCTCAAGCCCTACGGCTGCCATGTTGCCGGCCTACGCCTTGACCAAGTACAAAATAACAGCGTAAGAACCTGCACGGCATGAAGACTCTGTGCACAATGACGAGCCTGCCAATAACTTGGAGATCTCGATGACTTTGATCCTCTCTTCCAAGCCTGGAAACCACAGCAAAGATTGAAGTCCAGGTTCGGCAAACATCGTGACTTGACTTTCCCTGCCTGCGGCTGCAAACCTCTGAAGCGCTGCAGTTTGATCTACGCTGTTGGTGACCTTAACACAGCATGGCTCTCGCGAGTAGACGGAAGGCAGGCACATCTGGTAGTAAGGTCCAAACCGCAACCCACTGCAAGTTACACTCCTCCACGAGCTGTTTCACCTGATTACCATGGAATAGCAGGCATGTGACCGATGATGACCGACTCGAACAAACCTTGTCAGCGGTGTCTCCGGAGAAGTAGCCTTCAATGAGAGCCACCAGTACCCGTCGTTGCCCTCTCTCATATTGACATGCCAGGCCGTGTGGAGCGACGCCATAGAGTCGAGCTGACGGAAGCAGTGTGTGAAGAGCTCGGCTGACCTTGCAGCTTTTTGCAGACACAACTCCCAGGAGGAGGCGCATATAGACACTTGCCTCCACGAGGTTACCACACGTGTCGAACCTGCCGCGCGGCCCACCCCGATCGCTGCGAAGCACGACATCTGCAAAGACGTCTCAGGACAACACATGTCATCGATGATGATGACATCGTTGATGCTTTGCATCTGCGAAGCTCGGAAGGCGGTAGCTAAAGTCTACTTACTGCGCCAGGGTCAGGCACTGCCGACATAAGGAGTGGAGACCCGTTCCAGCCCATCCCACGCCGCCCGCACAGGTTTCCTCCCGCTGGTCAACTCAGGGTCTCGGTTGCACGGAGGAAGAAATCGAAGCTTTGTCAACCTCGATTAGAACCGATGTGATGTGCGTCCTGCTTACATTTTCATTTACCAGGTTACCACCGAGAAACAGCGCGAGATGACACCCTGAATCTCAGATTGGCTCCCCTCCTCCGTTAAACTTGGTACGCCGATGCCCTGGCAATGACCATCGGCCCAGGCCTCCGCGTCGAACATGATTTTCACCTCGCCACGTCCACCGGCCTGGACGAGTCAAGATCACACAAAATATGAGAAATCACTCGAACTCGCCCCAACTTTTACAAAAACGCCAACTTGTCTGAATCTGGACCCTTTGAGCTTTGGTTGCTCGCTGGAAGTTTCGCCATTGCAGACTTCCTCACCAACATCTTCAGCCACACCGGCTCAGTTTCAGCAGGGAGCATCGAGCACCAACAGCCCCTCGCAGGATGGTCTTGTAATTGTATGCAGCAAGATCGCGAAGATTGGCCAAACGGAGCATGTGCAGCCACTTGCGTCCGTTGCCAAACCTTGCTTCCAGAGCGCTTGCCAGTCGTGCGTGCGCGTGCACGTCCATGCACGGGACGGGACGTCCAAGACGAAACGATGGTGGTGGAGCACTTCTCTCGGAAAACGGAGTTGTCCATCGTGCATTTCAGCAGCATGAAGTAGTCGTCTGTGACCTTCAGCCTGTCGATGCACCCCCTGCAATGTCGGCTTCAGGGGGCTCAATACCTTGAGCTGGGACTGGATCACCTGGCGTGGGTCAGAGTCAGGGGCAATAGCTCCGAAGTCTCTGAGTGGCGCGATGACTGAGACTCGGACCACTCTCACTCAAGTTTCCTGACACACACAAACAAGATCCTTTGCAATCCTCACTCCTCCTTGAGCTGAGATCCGAGCCTGCAGTTTCCGTGCTGGGGATCGAGCCTGTGGTCATGCGAGGGCCATGGCGCGTTTGCCCCCTAGAAAGTCGCTTGGCGCTTACACTGGTCCGCATGGGCCCGCCTAGGGGAAGCGATCCGCAGCGAACTCTGCGTCCGCCAGCCTCCAAGTTCACATTCACCGTCTCAGAGGCTGCTTCCACCAAGGAGGGCTCCAGCAGCGAAAATCCTCGAAAAAGCACCGCACCGACTCCACCGTCTATAGAGCTTCTAGAGCTAAGTGAGAGCTTACTGTCAGGGCGCAGCCTCAAGAAAAGACAACCCTGGGAGGGGCGGCCTTCGGCCTCGCGGCGCATCCGAACTTCCAGAGCCAAGGGTTCAGCTTGAACGCCGTAGAACCGGGCATATGGTAAGAGAAACAAGACGGCGGAGCTGTACTGCTGTGCACTTCTCGTGTACTCCAGAGTTTCGCTGCTGCCAGGCTCCTCAACACATGTCGTGAAGCGTGGCAAACCCTGTGCGGTAGCACTGATGTGGTTCTGCAGGTTCTCGCGTGGTTGCCACAGTGACGTCTCTGGGCACTGCAGGTAAGCTTGAGCGGTCAGCGACGAACGCAGCTCGATTCTGAGTAGCAGATCAAAGGATGCAGGCACATCCGCTCCCACAGACAGCACCAAGGATATGACAGAGGCGTCCTCCCTTCGTAGGCTTACATTCGCCATGGGTTCGCAGACGTCAAAGCCACCGATACCTTCGCTTCCAGAAGCGTCTACAGCGAAATCTTGGTTCTCGCCCTGGAAGATAGTGACTGTCCAGACTGCTGGTAGTCCAACAGCTGGGTTCGTGAGCCCAAATGCGAACTCATAAGGCGGACTCAGTTCTGAGCGGCCAAACAAAGATCTCCAGTAGACCTGCACTCTTGACTCAAGGCTTCGGCACCTGGCAGTGGCGGGCAGTGCGCCGCGGGGCCTGAAGTCATGGCAAGAGGCAAGAAACCCTGGCGGGAGCTGCACTTCGATGCTGCCACGTTGGCCCCGAAGGCTGCGACCAGCATAAATGCTAACGACAGAGCGGTGCGAAGCCCCTGCAGCATGTGATCCTGGTGTGATCCACCCACGAAGCGTCAGGAGGGCCGAGGAAAACAAGGAGGTCTGATGCACAACCTGATCTCCAGCAATGGTGCTTGCCGCAAAGGTCTGCAACCAGCTGATCTGATCTGGGTTTTGCATCCAGATCCAAAAGTAGTAGTCCTGCTTGGCGAGAATTTGCTGGTCGAACATCAAATCAGCAACCAAACCGCTGGAGGACACCAAACAATCGCGAGGGGTCAGCAGCAGTTTCTCAGCTGGCTGTGCAGGCAAGCTCCGGGACGACCGTATCGTATCCAGAACGCAGTTTGCTGGATCAAACACCTTTGCATTCCCAGCTGCACCAATGTTGGTGATACGCAGTTGAAAAGATTTTGACAACTCCTCCGTCGGAGGAAGTGGCGTTCGCAACTTGAACTGGACGAGAGCTGGTGCAGACACCAGAGGAACTGCAGATTGCACGCTAATGCCAAAGAGCTCGAACTCCCCAAACACTTCAAACCCTGCGTTCCTGCCGATTGAGTTTGGGAGTCCGGTTTCAGCGAAATCGGACTCCAGAACTTGGACCAGCCACTCGTTCGAAGATGGCATCAATATAGGGTTGATCATAGGCACATTTACAGTGTATGCCACGTTGGCTGCCAATCTCTGCAATGCTCTGAAGACAAGTGCACTTGTCATGTCAAGCCAGCTCGGCGGTAGCGATGCGACTTCAAACAAGTACTCGGGCTCCACCTTATCCGGCTCTGAGACAATACCGCTAGGAGTACGGATATGCAGGAAAGAGCCAGCTGGTAGTGAAGATGACAGCTTGAATTCAAGAACAAATCTGGAAAACAGGCTCCCAGCGCGTTGGGAAGAAGTCTGAACACCCAAGGACACCGGATAAACGACTGCAAAGCCAGGCAATGCAATGGCTCCGACTGCTTTCAGAGTCTCCGTTCTCAGTACGAAGCGCCACTCATTCTGTGCTGACACAGGTGCCGTCGCGAAAAGATGAACCTGTAGCTGGCCAGGCAAGTCTTGAATGGACACAGCGACCGACTGCAATCGGCGGAGCCGGCGTGCCGAGCCAATAGGTCTCTGGAGCAAGAAGTGCAAGACAGGCTCTGGCGCAGCCTCATCAGGTGGCGCTTGCTGACACTGGACAGGGCTGCACGCAGTCCCAGCAAATGCCGTCAGACCGAAGGGCAGGGAGACGTCCAACATGGCGGGACTCTCTCCACCTGTCGGGCTCAGAAGCAAACTCACAGGACCAGTGGCAATTTCTTGCCAATCTATCTCCAAGTACACCGAAATAACGGTATCCAGCGTCGGTGCTACCGGTGCAACAATCGTTAGGGGTAAAATTGGCAGGATGGGCAATCCGGTCATGTAGCTCTTTCCTTGCAGCACGCTTGACGGACCCGTCGAGGAAGTCAACAACTCCATGTCCACACTAGGGAAAGCGCCGGCGGACAACACAGCTGGAAATGACATGATGACCCGCTCAAAGGGCATCCACAAGTCGTTGCTTTCCAGCGAGATGCAAGTCCCACATCCGCTCAGCCGTCTGCAAGTCACCCTTGCGGTCGACGGCTCCAATACTGTGCAGGTGAGCGGAGCATTGGAAGGAAGGTCGAGGCCCAACAGACAGAAACGTGCACTCAGCCTTTGATCAGTGGAGGCTAAAATTAACGAACTCAGAGCGAAGCTCAGCGCAACGTCCACGGGCTCTGTGCTTGGGAGACGGCCAGGATAGCAGAGGGAGAGATGTGCCAATGTCTGCACAACCGGGGCCACACCAAGACCTCGACGGCTTTGCCCCACGAGAGGAGCAACCTCGAGAACCACTCCAGACTCGTCAAGCAACTGAAGGCGCAGGGGGAATGCTGGCACGGATCTGCCTTCAGGCACGCTTGCATGGATACCAATACAGTAGCGCTCACCTGGGACCAAACCCGCTGCGATTTGGACCCGAAGTAAGGACGAAGAAGTCTGCTGCCAGCAATCGAAAAGCTGGGGCCAAGTGCAGGTCGCAGCCAGATCACAGCTTTGAGCGAACTGGCTAGTTTGAACTTCGGAGACTTGCGGAAGTAACGATTGCGGATCCTCGATGAGAGAAAGGCAAGGTGCCTCGGGCACGAAGACGAATTCATCCTGGCCCGGCAGAGCAACTTCCAGAAAGGCGCCTGCAAGCAGCTCCGTGGCAGGCACGAAACTGAGGACTGCAGACTGGATGACTGCTTCCGCACGGAATAAAATGCTGGACAATGGTTGAAGCCGAACGTCTCCAATCTCCGTTAGAGATGGTCCCATCAATGCGGTGGCTTCAAAGAGAACCCCCTGCACCGCGCTCCGTATCGACCAGACTTGGATCTGCCCATCCTCCTTCCAAGCTGGCATCCGTACTGTCACGCCAATCTCCATGTCATCACCAGACGCAAGTTGCAGCACGTCCAGTCTTGCGACAGCTCCCCTGCCTGCACAGCCCGTCAGTTGCCAAGCTGTTTCTGGCTGTATCGGAGGCCATTTTGCAGCGCAGTCGGGGAAGAAGACGAAGCCACTCGGCGCTTGCAGCTCCAGCGAGATGCCGCTTGCAGACAACTGTGACAGAGCGGATCCTTGGAGCTGCAAGCTGAAAGTCGCTACCAATGTCGGCGCCATCGGCAGACCTGTCACGGTCGACACACCCAGTAGAGGGTCGGAGAACTCCCAAGCACTGACGGAGCATCGCTGTCGAACCTCTCCTTGGGCCGTCACAGTCTCCACGGACCAGAACTGACCACGTATCTGATCGAATCTGGGCGATTGCACTCGCAGCCGGAATGCATAAACCACATGAGGCAGCAAACGCAGCCCAGCAACGTCCGAGACGTCGGAAAACGACAGCGTCAGTTCGCTTCTCTGTACGTTGGTGCCGCACAGGAGGCTGTCCACATCGGGCAGGGAGGAGTACTCGCGAGGAAATTGCAGGGCTGGAAGCCTCGGGTTCCCGGGATCTGCACTTGTCTCCAGGACGCTGGAGCAGTTGTTCTCATGTCCAGTCGAAGCAGAAAGGGAGAAGCCCTGTGGGAGCAAGACTCGCACAATCGAAGGCAATTCCGGCTCCCGCCAGGATTGCACACCGAGTGGCTCAGCAAGTTGCAAGCTTAGGGATACCCAGCTCTCGCGGCCACGCAACCTGCTCGTCGGCACTGCCGCGCAGTACTGCAAAGTCCCAATCACATCATACCCGCGCCGTACGCCCACGTCCCGGCGGCTCTCGAAAGATGTGAACGGCAGATACCTGTAGAGGCTTTCGAGTTGCCAATAGTTGAAGGTGGCATCGACCGCCTCCCAAACAATCGAAGAAGGGTTCATCACATCCGCTGCAACGGCGTAGCTTACTTCGGATCGCGCAGTGCCTTGAATGTCCACCCGTAAGATCCACGGCGAAGCCCCGTCGATCTCTGGCTCGATGGTCGGGAAGCTCTGCAAGATGCTGGTCGTCAGGGGCTCATATAGCTGAGCAGGCATGACCCATCTGAAAAGAGAGGGCGCTGTCACCACAAGCGAGTCGCCCGTGCGAAGAGGGGTCTGCAGCATGAAATCCACCTGCACCCTGGTAACTTGGCCGGCTCGTTGGTCCTGGGCGAAGATGGCCAAAATAGAAATCTGCGTCTTGTACAGCCGGAAGGAGCTGTCATAGATGGAAGCAGGAACACCTGGTCTCAGCGCAGCTGTCACAGAGCTCTGCACCAAGGGAATATTCTCCATCAACACAACTGGCATGCCCTGATCCTCGATCAGCGTCAATGACCAGCCATACACGTGCAAACGGAGCTCCTCTGCGGATGCGGTGGACCAAAAGCTCTCCGGAGGGTTCTCAACCGAAACCTGGAAGGCATAGCTTTCACCCGGCTGAAAGCCCACATCCCTAGAGTCCATCTGAACATCTACTGCAAGAGGTTTTGGCGCAGCTGCAACACAAGAGGTTCGAGGCACAGGTGGCAAAGACCTCAGTGGCCAGAAACCTGGACAAGGCCCATCTGGAAATGCAAAGCCACTCGGCGCAAGGAGCTGCAGTCGATGGGCAGAGCTTGTCCAATGCGTCAAGGAGAAGCCGTCTCTCTCGGGCATTGCAGCTCGGATGAGGAGGATCTGAAACCTTCCCAGAACAGGGTGGGTTGGAAGGACCTGTGCAGATGCAAAGGCAGGAACCACAAAATACCTGGAAGAAGAGGTGAGCGTGTCAAAGGTCAAAGCAGAACTGCCGACCAGAACCTCCACTGCAAGTCTCCACGTGCTGTACATCAACGGGCTTGGGCCATTGTAAACCAAGCAAGCAGTCCGGTATGCGACTCGCGGGTAAATAACAAAGTTGCGCTGGCTGGCATCGGATTCCATTTGCCAGCTTGCACGACTAGTTGTACCGTCGAGTGACATGGCTGGTGGCTTCTCCCCAAGGCTTGCAACGCCGGCAATTGGCTCACAGGTCTCCATTCGAGCCTGTGCGGGTTCGAGCAGCTCCACGATCACAGAGCCTGGACCTGGCGGTGCAAAGACACCCAGCTTCAGTTCGATTTCCACACGGCTCAGGATGCTGCCCATGGGTGCCGGATACTTGTATGTGCTAGAAAGGACCTCCAGCGACATGCCCAGTGTAGTGTTGGATAGCATGACGGAGCCACTGGCTGTCACCGGGCTGTGCTGAAAGATCCCACCCACGCTCTGTGACAGAATCGTTTCCCAGCGCACAGCAGCTGCCAGCGGCTGCTTGATGCCAGGTACTGACAGCGAGAATGTGTACGGCCTCTGCGGCAGAAGCGTCGCCGCCGAGCTAGGAAGCCTCAATTCCATACCATATGTAGGTCCCCCGACATTGTATTCCAGGAGTTCACAAGCCGTCTGGGCAGGGAAATCGCCGGGGAAAAAGTGGCCACAGCCTCGGGTCTGTCTCCATGGCCCGGAGCGCGTGTTCCATGGCATCTGCAGCAAGGAGGTCAGCATGCTCGTGTTCACGGGTCGGGAGGCCTCGGTGCTCCATCCGATGAGCGGAGAGCCAATGATCCGCAGGCGGGAACCTGCCAACATGCCCTGCCCACCGAATTGAATGCTGAAGTCGTACTCCCGAAGGGTCTCAGGACCTGAGACCTCACCGTCGGAGGAGTTAGCAAACGCCTCAGCAGCCGGTGCAACTTCAAGAGAAAGCACGGAAACGTCGGAGCCGGGCAAAACAAGTTGGAGATGATCGACAAACCGATGCCGCCATGGTATCAGCTGCTGTACTTCAATCCAATCCCCTGCGTACGTACGAGCCGTCACCATGTTCCAAGTCACCAGGCGCTCATCCGATCCGCCAGATGAGATTGGCCACTGCAACACGAAAGTGTACTCCGTGCTTGACTGTAACGGCGACTGAAGCGTGAGGATAAAGCGACCTCCATCAAATCGACACTCTTGCAGTGCAGGAAAGGTCTCGGAAATCTCCAAAACAATACCGCAACCCTCCAGTGCACGCGAAGGTGGATCCAGAAGCGTGCTGTTTTCCACCGATAGCTCCAACCGGTACAAGTCGTCTGTAGACCCATACAGTCCGTGCTGACTCGTGCGGAAAGAAACAACAAGTGGTGCTATTGGTTCTTGTATGTACGGGGCGAAGACTACAAAGTTCTCCGGCGATCCGCCTGTCCGAAACAGAATGTTGCAGTACTGCAGTGGGTTCCCTGCGAGATCTCGAACAACGTCCGTGCGCAGTCGTACGTTGTACTCCAGATCTGGCCGCAAGGCAAGCGCTGGAGATACAGCAATGGATCGATTGCCATATGCACCTAACGTTATCATCGTCACCTGCCCATCCGCAAAGCTAAGCACACGCACATCTCCCAGAGCCAGGAGCTCCAGAAGACCTGCTCCCGCCACGATGACTTCTGAGAACACAAACTGCAAGCCCAGGTTCGGATCCACTCCTTCCGTAAGGTTGCCAGGAACACTTTGAATGAGTGTCGGGAATGTCTGATCGCCCGAAGCAAACTCGTAGTTGTAGCTCACCTCACACATGACCAGATCTCAATCGAATTGAGATACTCATGCTCATCCTCCAATTTTCAACCAAACAGAACATCCGAACTAGGCAGAATATCCCAAGTCAGGCTAGCTGCGTAGTCAAGATCGGATCGCACCAAGCTTGAGCGTGCTAGGATAATGAGCAGCAGCTGCCCGGTGCAGAAAGGCATGCACGTACTGCCCGCGAAGCAGCATCGTTCATGTGGGCTTACAAGATCCTCACTTGCAAACTGGAGTCGGGGTGCAATCTAGCTCAGCATTTGAGGCTTCCATTAGAGTCGAGTACCAAACTCTGGTCAGGCTTGCGTTTGCATACAACAGAACAAGTGCGAGTTCTTAAACCGACAGGTGCCCGGAAGATCAGGCGGAGATGGCATGCAGGTTCAGAGCAGGCGACGCATGAGAGTCGACTGTCCTACAGACCTACTGCACGGGCTTCGAGCGAGACATGAGGAGTCATTGCGACAACCAGCAACAGACAGCCTTCTGTCTGAAGCGATCCGCCATGATGAAGCCCACGCGCAGTATGTCCGCCATCCGCCGCGTGAACTGCAAAGACAGTCCGCTGGAATCCAGTCGAAGCGACAATTGACACACCACGAAATTGTCAAGTGATGTTAGGCTCTTCCCTCCCTTGCCCCGAGCCTTCATGCCTCCACCGTTGGTAGCGCACACGAGAGAGTGCTCCTGTGCACATCGAGCAAAACTAGGACATGCAAGCCACACGGTTTCTTGCAACCCAGCACCACCTCATCGAAACCAGGCACGTTCTGTCGAATGAAGTCTGCAAGGTACCTGAGGCAGCTGTGGCTGCATGCTGCTGCCTGCACGCAGACACCCCTGCAATTCCTGATCTTGCAGAGAGCGCCGGCCTGTCGGAGCTCAGCTCGTCGAGCACCATGCCAGGTGGGCTGAATGCAGCTTCCGCCTGCATGGTCTCTGGGTTCTTTCGACTCGACCAAAGCTCGAGAACAGACCTGGTTGTGCAAGTCCACCGTCAGGAACCGCTCTGCTCCCGCAGTCTCGAAACAAAGATGCGCTTTGGACAGCTTTAAACAAAATCGCGACATTCTTTCGAAGAGAGGAGCCTTGATGCACCGGAACATGAGCTTGGGAGCAATGGCCTTTTGCCGCTAATCTCTTGGAGGTTGACCCAAGGAGGCGAGGCAACCGCGCCTCGCCGGCCATCAGTTTCCGATCCTGCAATCGGGCAGAGTTTCACAAGAGTATGCGTGGGAAAGAGGCCCGGCGCCTGCCGAGCGTACTCCAAACAGGGCATCACGACCGTTAGTCGGTGCGGGGACTCAGGACATGAAACTGCAACAGATAAGCTTCAACAAGTTTGGCGACAGTTGAGAATGTCACCTCACCCCTGAGAGCGTCCACCAGCAGCAGTAATCTCACCAATGAAAAGTTCACCTTTGTCGATCACCAGAGCTGCCTTCAGCCAATGCCCACTTCTGGGGATGCGACCTCGGATGCAGCATCGTTACGGACGATGATCACGAAGACATCGTGATTGGTCACCTAGGTTGGGCCGGACCCGGAGGGAAGCTCTTGCGACAACAGATCGCCGAGCCGTGCTCCGTCTGTAAGACTTTCGGCCCAATCTCGCCGTTGTCAAACATGGCAAAGTGGCACTCCCTGACACAATCAATGCGCAGCCGACTGCCAACACCGAAGCAATCACTGACTCCCGGCGCACCCTGATCGCCACTGCAAATGAGAAATAACCTGAGCACGCTCTCCAACGCGACAACGCACACAACACTCACTGCAGCAAGCGTGCACCTTCTGCAGAAGCTGGTCGCTGCCGGGCAACCCGAACACCTGTCAAGAACAACACTTCCACGGTGCATACGGAAGCTTCAGTGTGCAAGTAAGGCAGCTTACCACTGGCGGATGTCCCAAGGGAATTCGGATGGCCTCACGAAAATCCCAAACTGTATCGCGACTCATGCAGCTGAGAACTTGTCATCCACATGTCCATTCGGCCTGGTACGACTCATCCGCATCAAGGTCGTCATCGAGGTCACCATCATCATCGGAAGAAGCCATTCACTTGCTCATGCAGTACTTGAGAGATGCTGTACCGTCTAACTTCTAACCAATGCTACCATGGGCAGCATTCTGCAGTCATGCGCTTGCGTTGCAACTCAGTGGCAGCTTTGAAAGCTGGAAGACAACATAAAGGTGCAAGTTGATGGATGGGTCGCAGCGTGAAACGCAAGGTCTCTACGAGTGATCGAGCCGAATCAATCTGCGGTCCATGAAGACTGACGAACTTAATTATACAACGGCGCCTGAATAGCGACACAGATTGAGGTTAAGATGCTTGTGAATCAAATAAGGAACGAGAACCATGAAGCAAAGGCAATTCCAAGAGGATAGGCGCGTGGCTTGAACAACAAGCTTATCGGCGAAACTCATATAAACCACGCCGCCACACAGAGACAACATGTGACTCAGTTTCCGTGACATGAAGCCCTAAACACAGACCTTAAACCTCTACCCCTCAACGCACAACACTAAGAGCACTAAAGCTAATAAACCTGAATATGGCTTGTGGACGCCGCAGGTTCCCAGTAGACTTAACAGACCTCGCATGCCTCAGAGGCGTGACAAGCCGAAAAAATTGGCACATGGATCTTCGCCCAGCCGGACAAGGTCAAGAGTTTGATGCCTTTTTGTCTATGGTCCAGTCCAAGTGGCACTTGAGACTCTCAAGTCTGCATTGAGGCTTGCGTCATCTTCAATCTCATTTGCAGCTGGGGAGCAGTACCAAAAATAGTTGCTTGTGCTCTCCCAGCTTGTCCGCTGGACAGAAGGATCCAGGAGGACACACGCACCAGGAGTGTTGTAGGAACTGAAGTGCATGATGGTCAGCAATAGGACATATGCAACACCTGTTTGTGAGCATGTGTGTAGTTTGA